GGCTCCTCAACTTTTGGGGGAGGACTACATGTTGTTCATGCACTGATGCATTTGATGTTTGTGTAAAGGCTTGTAAAGGCAAATATAACTTCTATTTTTGTTTTCACACACAGGCTGCAATGGTAACAGAGGAGGATATTTTTGATGATGTTGGTCCCTCTGATGTTAGAGTCTTAGTGTGAACCCTACACCTCCCTCCGTTCAATCTACTCCACTGGATCTAAGTTGCGTGGCAACTACTGTTGTACCATGGAACGCAACAAGCCCTGAGGTAAGCAAATTGTATTATTCTTCTATTCATATTTTAATTGGAGCATTGATTATATCCATGTCTTTGTTGTTACGCAGCGAATGCTTGAATCAGACAACTGAATTTCCGAATTTTCCTTATCGGCACATACAATTGTAATTTTACTACTAGCTGTATTGAATGATCAATATTATTTTGTAGTTATTTGGTCTGCTGACCAGTGCTTATTGTTACTACTTAGTAAAACCTACTTGTTTTTATAATAAACCTTTTAAACAAGCATTTTTATTCCAAATGATTTTCCCTGAACTTCTATTATTAAAAATGTGTTGATTATGCTTTAACTTATTTGGTGATTGTCAAGGCAACTATGGGAGAAGTGAAAAGATAATTATGTTCCACTCACAGAAAATTTAATGACAGCAAAAGTCAAATTATCATACACAATTATAAAAGATGTATAGGAACTTCCTTAAATTATACAATTTCAATACAGAAAAGACTGAACAAAATATGGCAACCCAACTTCAACAGCAGCTGTTTAAGTTTTTTTGGCTTTTTCTCTTCGGTAGCAGACATTGGTCAAGAGGCTGAAGTGCTGGGTAAAGCCTTTGTGGTGGGTGACCTTCTTGATTTAACAGAAGCGGCTTCGCTTGAGAGGTACTTAGATCCAGTGGAGTAGATTGAACGGAGGGAGGTGTAGGGTTCACTCTAAGACTCTAACATCAGAGGGACCAACATCATCAAAAATATCCTCCTCTGTTACCATTGCAGCCTGTGTGTGAAAACAAAAATAGAAGTTATAT